TAAAAAAATATTAACAACTGCAGAGTAGAAAGTTAAGAAGAAAAAAAATCGGATTCTTAACATGTGACATATTGATCTATTACCCCCAAAATGAGGGTATTAGTTCCTCTTTCTTCACCTCATACTACACCATCACTACATAATTTTCCTTACAATCACACCATCACTATCTCCTCCTTCCCTACATTCACATTCATTTTGCTTAGTTTGACTTTTATTTTCCTAGTAATACATCTCCCTCAATTCAAGCATGCCCGTAAAGTGATTAGAGGTTTTTTTTTTTTTTGGTTTTTTCCCATAAAATTGGTATAATACTACGACAACTTAATTGTACAATATCACATTAATACAAAAGGATTGTCAATAAAAAAAATAATACAAAAGGTGAAAAGGTTGATAATCCAAATAGGGAATATTAGTTTCCTCCTATTAGTCTTTGCACTACTCTCTCTATGCATGTTTCAATATAAATGTCTCAATTTGATTAGAACATTTGTCATTGCTGAATTTTGACCAATAATATCTTTCATTATCAATAAGTACAATTTATAAAAAAAGGTTGATTAGACGATTCTATTAATCACTCATTCACCCATATGGATATATTTAATCTTATGTATAAATTACAAATAGAGGTCAGATATGTGAATAGTACAAAAGTTAAAGTGGGAAGTTTATTTTAAAATCGGAAGAGTACAATTTATTGTGTTTAATAGAATCAATTTAAGCCTCTCATAAAGAAAATTTATAGGTCTGTATCAAAATTCTTTTTTTTTTTTTTTGACGCAAAAATGCTTTGTTTCAGATAGAGTAACTCACGCAGTAATATCTTTTAGTTCAGGGAAATACTTAATATGTATAATCGATTATTATTAATTATATACTAAAAGACGCACCAGCAATTACATGTGTTATTTTCTGGTGTGTCCCTTTTTTAAAAAGAATTTTAAAATCTATTTAGGAAATTAATCTTAAACAAAAATAAAGTATAACAAACTTATACATAAATAAAAGATTTGATATATCCTTGAGGATCATGACAACTATTTAAACTTAAGTAAAAGGGAAAAAAAAATTCAAACTTCAACATAATTTTTGCCAAGTCATGTACTTCAATAATTTCATATATTTTTTTGAATATTTTTATTAAATAATACAATATATTATAAGCTCCAAGAAAGTAATTAGAATATTAAAAATTGCTAATAAAAGATTTGATATATCCTTCCTAAAAAAATATTAACAACTGCAGAGTAGAAAGTTAAGAAGAAAAAAAATCGGATTCTTAACATGTGACATATTGATCTATTACCCCCAAAATGAGGGTATTAGTTCCTCTTTCTTCACCTCATACTACACCATCACTACATAATTTTCCTTACAATCACACCATCACTATCTCCTCCTTCCCTACATTCACATTCATTTTGCTTAGTTTGACTTTTATTTTCCTAGTAATACATCTCCCTCAATTCAAGCATGCCCGTAAAGTGATTAGAGGTTTTTTGTTTTTTTTTGGTTTTTTCCCATAAAATTGGTATAATACTACGACAACTTAATTGTACAATATCACATTAATACAAAAGGATTGTCAATAAAAAAAATAATACAAAAGGTGAAAAGGTTGATAATCCAAATAGGGAATATTAGTTTCCTCCTATTAGTCTTTGCACTACTCTCTCTATGCATGTTTCAATATAAATGTCTCAATTTGATTAGAACATTTGTCAATGCTGAATTTTGACCAATAATATCTTTCATTATCAATAAGTACAATTTATAAAAAAAGGTTGATTAGACGATTCTATTAATCACTCATTCACCCATATGGATATATTTAATCTTATGTATAAATTACAAATAGAGGTCAGATATGTGAATAGTACAAAAGTTAAAGTGGGAAGTTTATTTTAAAATCGGAAGAGTACAATTTATTGTGTTTAATAGAATCAATTTAAGCCTCTCATAAAGAAAATTTATAGGTCTGTATCAAAATTCTTTTTTTTTGACGCAAAAATGCTTTGTTTCAGATAGAGTAACTCACGCAGTAATATCTTTTAGTTCAGGGAAATACTTAATATGTATAATCGATTATTATTAATTATATACTAAAAGACGCACCAGCAATTACATGTGTCATTTTCTGGTGTGTCCCTTTTTTAAAAAGAATTTTAAAATCTATTTAGGAAATTAATCTTAAACAAAAATAAAGTATAACAAACTTATACATAAATAAAAGATTTGATATATCCTTGAGGATCATGACAACTATTTAAACTTAATTAAAAGGGAAAAAAAAAATTCAAACTTCAAAATAATTTTTGCCAAGTCATGTACTTCAATAATTTCATATATTTTTTTGAATATTTTTATTAAATAATACAATATATTAGAAGCTCCAAGAAAGTAATTAGAATATTAAAAATTGCTAATAAAAGATTTGATATATCCTTCCTAAAAAAATATTAACAACTGCAGAGTAGAAAGTTAAGAAGAAAAAAAATCGGATTCTTAACATGTGACATATTGAGTATAATGTACTACGTTTATTACAACACCAATTTTCTTTCTAAAGAAAGTTAAAAATAGAAATCTATTTACGGGTTAAATACATAGTACATAGTTTTAAGAAATTAATTTGGTTAATAAGAAAATCAATTAATCAATTACCTATATACTAAAAGACACACCAGCAATGACACGTGTCATTTTCGGGTGTGTCCCTTAGGTTTTTTTTTTTTAATTTTTCGAATCTATTTAGGAATCAAATATTAAAAAAAAATAAAGTATAACAAACTTATACATAAATAAAAAGATTTGATATATCCTTGAGGATCTTGACAACTATTTAAACTTAAGTAAAAGAAAAAAAAATTCAAACTTCAACATAGTTTTTGCCAAGTCAAAAAACTTCAATAATTACATATATTTTTTTTGAATATTTTTATAAAATAATACAATATATTAGAAGCTCCAAGAAAGTAAATAGAATATTAAAAATTACTTAAAATAAAAGATTTGATATATACTTCCTCAAAAAATATTAACAACTACGGAGTTAAAATTTAAGGAAAAAAAATCAGATTCTTAACATGTGACATACTGAGTATAATGTACTACGTTTATTACAACACCAATTTACTTTCTAAAAATGTTAAAATAGAAATCTATTTACGGGTTAAATACGTAGTACATAGTTTTAAGAAATTCATTTGGTTAATAAGAAAATTAAAAAAATAATACCAATTTGTTGGTAAAATATACAAAAATATATAGATATTGTCAAATGCATATATTAAAATACCTATGTGGCTAACAAACTCTTTCATAATAAGTTCATTATAGTATTTTAGACAAATTTATGTTTTTTTTATTTAATTAAATGTATTTTTAATTTATGAATAATTATTTAAATTACTGTGCATGGCACGACACCTAACCTATAATTATTAAAAAAAAAATATGAGTAAAAAAAAAACAATAAAAAAAACAAGTTGGACATAACATGGATAATTTTTATAATTGGGTAGAAAGAAATTTTCATTTGTGGTATTTCTGTGTAGCCAGGGTTACTTTTTAAGGAGTTACTTATTTAAGGTTTACTCATTTGGTCAAGGGTTACTTATTTTGGAGTTAATCAGTCGATTAGCACATTTTCGTCAGGGTTACTTATTTAGGGGTTACTCATTCGGTCAAGAGTTGTTTATTCTGGGGTTATTCAGTCCATTAGCGACCGATCGAGTAACCCCAGAATAAGTAACCCCGGTCACACAATTAGCCAGCCACATATAAAAATTTGTGAATTTTCATTGAGCAACCTTAAAGGCTTTTGGATATAATGAAACTCAAATTACAGAGTACATATGAATTTAATCATTATTATTAACACATAACATGATCTATTGCTTTAGTATTAAAATCACGCATTTACACTTTTACGCTCATAAACTTAGTAAATCATTAAAATCTTTTTAATTAAAATTATCCATAGTTCCAAAATAAATAAATAAAAAGGGAAAAAGATATATGCAACCTATAAGAAGCTAAAAGTGGAAATCATAGACAATAAGTAAACATTTATTACACCGATTTATTCATGAATTGTCGATAAATTCCCAACTTAATGCTTAAAAAGGAAATATATGGCTGCATATAGCATTACCCATAAAAAATTACTCCCACCATTTTGGCACTATTCATTAAAAAATACTTTGACCAATGTTTGTAAATTATATATATAAAAAAATATAGTCTTGTGGGTACTTGTTGGAATCGTCTCAATGAGTAGATTATTAATATTCAATTGTTATAATTTATAGTTAATAATAATTAAAGATATTATTAGTCAAAATTTTGCATCGACGTGCGTAACATGTTATTATGAGGTACTTAAAAAAACCAGAGGGAATATAAAAATAAAATCTTTAAAAAATATAAAAATAAAAAAACACTTGTTACAAAAGGGTATAATTGTCACAATCAGCATCAAGGACATCAACTTACCATCAATTTTAGGAAATTTTACAAAATAACACCACAAAAAAGCCACCATTAAAAAAAAAAATAAATAAATAAACTTTATTATAACACCACAAAAAAAAAAACCAAATATTTGATTTTACCACCACATAATGGATTCTTGGATGGAATCCGTTAGTGGGGCCTAAAAGACACGTGTCAAGTTTCTATTGGTTTAAATGAATAAATTAAAAAAAAAAAAAAAAAAAAAAAAACCTTACTCCTAACCCAGCCAGCCCCACCACCGACACCACCTGCCCCAGCTGCCACCAGAACCTCCTGCCTCAACTAAAACCGGCGAACCAGTCCAACTTCCATCCAATAACCGCCGACTCCACTGCTTCTCCCCTTCCTCCTCCCCGAAAACCACCCCAAGCCCATCAAACCACCACAAAACCAACCTGACCACCGCACAAACCCCCTTTTCCTCCACCCTTGAAACGGCCAAATCGGCCATGGAAATCGACCATTCTGGGTTTCCATGGTCAATTTCGGCCGTTTGAGGGTGAAGGGTTCCCATGGTCTATTTTCTTGGTCAGTTTCCCAGATCGATTTCGGTGGTTTTCGATCATTGTTTTCGGCTTCTATGGATTTTAGCGTCGGTTTTGCGGTGGTGGCTGGGGCTGGGGTGTTTCAGGTTCGGCTTAGGTGTTGGAGATAGGCTGGAGATGCCGGTGGTGGGGATGGGATGTGGATCAGGGTCGCCGGTGGTGGGTGTTAAGATCGCCGGTTGTGGTGGTTGGGTTGGGTTAGGGGTTAGTTTTTTTTTTATTCTTTTTTTTTAAAATTTTTTTTTCTTTTTTATTAATTTATTCATTTAAACCAGTAGACAATTGACACGTGTCTTTAAGGGGTTCCACTCACGGATTTCATCCAAGAATCCGTTAAGTGATAATGAAATCAAATTTTTGGTTTTTTTTATGGTGTTATTATTTTTTTATTTATTTTTTGTGTTATTATCAAAATCGTGTCTTTTTTGTGGTGTTATTTTACAAGTTTTTCTCAATTTTATACTCCCCTGCTGTGTGGCCGTGTGAGGATAAGAGATATATCAGGGACCCTATTATGTAGGATTATAAATACTATTCTTACTTCCTCCCTTTCGCATTTCTCTCTCTCTACTTTCCTTCTATTTACTTTCTCTCTCTTCAACTTCTTCTTCCTCTCAATTCAACCGCCATTGATGCATTTCTCTCAACCTCTAATGCAGTAAAAGTTAGGGTTTTCGCCATTGATGAACCACACTAAAAGCTTCGTTTATTTCGATTCTTGAGAGTTTCACTCGTCGTTTCTTTCCTGAAGTAGTAAAAAAGAGTTCATTTTTGCCTCAAACTTAATTCTGCAGAAAAATGGAGGTGCAAATGCAGAGATTCGACGTTTCTCAGCTCCTTCACTCTCTTCCTGATTCTTCATCTTTCGGCAACAAAACAGTAACTGTATTCTCTCTCTAAAATCTTGAGCTTAACAGCTTTCATTTCAATCGATTTTGAGTTGTTTGAGTTCAAATGCTAGGGTTTCAACTCTTGATTTTGTGTTAAGTTTCAAAAGAAAATCATCTAATCTAAGTTTCTTTCAAAGATTAAGCTCAAAATCGACGATAATTTTGGAAAAATAATGTTCAAATTTTTTTCTCGTAATTTTTTGACTGAAAATGGAGGTAAAATTGCAGAGGATTGAAGAAAAACTGCCGGAAAACATCTATCCATCACCAATCGGCGAAAAAACAACCGTTCCAAGCATCGAAAACGTACTAATGAAGGCGATAATCCGAGACGACAAAGCAAAAGTCATCGAACAAGCGGAACAGATCATCAGCTCCTCAATCAAAAACGAGTCCGAACCATTTGATCGAGTAATGATGTCAAAACTCCTCCATCTCTGCTGCGAGTTCGACTCGGTAAACTCGGCAGAAGTCATAATCAGCGGCGAAATCACAAGTGGCAGCGTAGTTCCTTCAGTTAACGAAATCGATGGTGGTTCCGGCTTCGCTCCGATACACACCGCCGCTGAAAACCACGCTCACCGCTGCATTGAGCTGCTCCTCCGTAAACGAGCACGTACGGATGTGAAAACCAAGCGTAAAACTGCTGCTACTACTGCTGCTGTTGCTGCTGGTGCTGGTGCTGGTGCTGCAGTTGTAGCAGGTGCAGCGCCAGGTGAAGGAAGTGGTAGTGGACACAACAATACTTGTGCTGCCAGACGTCTGCTCCCCCTAGAGTTGGCTCTGCGCAGTAGCAGGTCCGTCCAAAAACTTTTAAACTTTTTTGTACTATTCCATTGCTTTTTGTATTTCATTAGTATTTCTTTTAGTACGGAGTACTTTTTATTTTCTGAAAAAAATCTTTTTGTTTGCAATTGAATTAATCGAGAAAATAAAACAAAATAAAGGAGACTTTCTATTTTTAGAAACCTCTGTTTCTTCTTTTATTGTTTCTTTTGCGTGTGTTCTTTTTTTTATGTTCGTCTTGATAGAGTAAAGATTTCGAGGTTTTTTTTTGTGTGTTCTTTTTTACCTTTTAGGTGAAATAATTTTTCAGTGTTAATGCATGTAATTTCATGGAAACTTCAGTAGCTAAATAAATTATGGTATGAGTGTCTATTTTTACTTTGTGGCTAAATAATTCCATTTTTAGAAATGTATCATTTTCTTGGTTATTTCCTTGTACATTATTTTCTGTTCACTGATGTGGAGATTTTTGAAGATGCTTTAGCGGAAATTTTATTATTTTGGTAATATGTTCGTGGATGGTAAAAGTATGAGTATTTATTTAACTTCATGTACCAATATTTCCATTTTTGGATGAGTGTAAGTGTGTAACTTTCTTGGGGGTTTTTTTTTTTTTTTCTCTCTCTCTCTTAATGATGACATTATGTATTGGTTTTTATAGAGGTTATGTGTTAAATGCAACGAGATTATATTAATAAATTTTCAACTTTTTTTTTTTTTCGTGGGTCTTGTACTAGTTTTAAGGCCTTATCATTTCTACTCGTATTAATTTTGAAGGATGGAGGTGGACTGGGAACCAGATCAGCCACTAGACGAGCTGTTGCTGCTGCTCAGTGAAAAGGTAGGGCAGCTTTTTTTTTTTTTTTTAAAAAAAAGCTTTAACTTTATTATCACATGTTATGTTATAATGAAAAAAAAAAAAAAGAAAATTTATATTCATAAATATAATTGGATATGTTTGAAACTTTGAACTACTGTTGTTAACCTTGGAATTATTCCACTAATCTTACTCAAATACATTTTGAGCGGGGATTATATACAATCAAAATATTTATGGTAATTTTTCAAATAATTTTTCTTTGATAATATGCTCATTTTGCTTAGTAAATTGGAGTAGCCAGCTTTATAAATAGTAATTTAATCAAAATAAATTTATCATAAATTGGAAATATATGAAAGTAAACATGTGATATGTTGTACAAGTATAACTGTATAAATTTTGAACACCTAGATATTCTTGTCAATCACTTTCATAAATATATAATCACTATGGATTAAGATTTTGAAATATGTGTATGCTTGAAAAAGTCAAATAATTTATAGCAACACTAGTACTTGATCATTATTACTGAATTAGCCTTCACATCATTGCAAAAACCTTCATCCATTATCTTTACATTTTTTCCAAAATCTGGAAAATATATGAAAATAAATATTTAGTACTAAAAAGTTCCTGAGACACTAGAGTATATGATGAATCGCCATTCCCATATATGTATACAACAAGTAATATTTAGCTGTCTCTATTTTCATGTTTTGACTGATTCCATGAGTTGCATGGATGCAGGATTTGGGAGCCATAAGAGTGCTTTCTGAAAAGACAAAGGACATAGGAGAGGTAGCGTACAGTATAGCAACAGAAGGACGGGTGGCAGCACTGGCTGCGCTGTTGATGGTGGCTGCAGAGAAGGTTAACGGGTCGGTGCTGGAGGTCCGAACCAACTCAGATTTAGTGGCGGAGAAGACAACGGTGTATAGTGGTGTGATCAGGGAGGCCGTCTCAATTTATATGGGAAATAAGGGCAAGCTTAAACTATCAGAAGAAAGCAAGAATGGCACTTATAGTGGTGAGTTGGAGAGGAGGAAAATACTACTTAGGGAGATGGAGTTGCTCCGTTTCTTTGGGGCTTCTCCTCATAATAGGTGTGTGGACAAAAAAGCCACATCTCCTCTTATAATTGCTTCTAAGGTAACCTTGCTGTCCTCAGTAAATTCATATCCCCTGTTTTCTCTCCCTCATGGCTTCATCCTCCAATTTTTAAATTTTATTTAGATTCGTCTTGAACTATACTTTCATAATATCAATTTTTTATAATTTGAACAAAAATAACTTAAGATATTTAAATTATAAAATTTGCATTGGCAAACATGAAATCCCCAACGTTGCGATTATAAAAAACGGAGGAAGTATGTGATTTTGGAAGGGCAATTTAATTTCCATGGTTTATGGTAATGCACAATAAGTATGACATTGTGTATTATTTTGTAAGGAAAATTACATGCCAATATCCATGTAGTGTTAGTGTTAGTCTTTTCCCTGACCGTCTCTTATTTTTTACTTAAGTGACCATTTCCTCCCAACACCACCTTTAAAGATGTTTGGGATGAAGTTGTATTACTGTGAGCCTTGCAATGCTACTATCTTACAAAATATAACTTTTCCATGTAGTGTCTATTTTGTGAAGCACTTATCATTCTTTAATCACATATTCTCCATTGGGTTGATACATTAGCTAATAGCAAATGGAAGTTTACCTAAACAAGGGACTACAATAATAAGAGTAGATTTAGTTTCTTCCTTTGACAAATATAGGCAGGCTTTATCTTCACCCAGTTAGACAGAGGGTGATCCTTATGTATTTTTTGATACCAACAAGATGAGGCTGCTAGCCCAACGTGGGATTTCTGTGTACCCGAAGAAATAAATAAATTCAGAGAAAATGACTGAAATACAAAATTAGAACCTTAAGAAGATATGCTGCTAAAGTTAAATCAGTAGAACAGTAGTTGTTCAGAATGAGACTTGCCATTTTTTTCCTAAATTTCCTGTGGATTCCTCTCTGATTCTTCTTTATCTCTTTTCTTTCTGAAGGCCGGAGATGAAACTGTAATGAAGTTGCTTCTGCAGACAGGCATAATTGTGAGTGAGGCTGATGCAGAAGGTAACTCAGCCCTTCATTGGTCTCTTAAAGCATCAAAAGTGTCAAGCCCTGAGCATATCAGGTATTTTATATTTTTTCGACACCAGAGATTTTTGCAACTTCCACAGAAATTGATTGCTGAGATGTGAAACTTTGGATGCTATCTAGAATCTTGGAGCTTCTTCTGAAGCATGGTGCAAGAGTGAGGCAAAAAGATAAGCTGGGATTGACTGCAGTTCACATTGCTTCTGCAAATGGGAACCTTGAAGCTCTTAAGGTACATTAGAAGTGCTTGCTTAATAATGCTAAGATATTCAGACTCAATTTTGGTACCATGATGGATGACTGGTGACTGTATCTTTTCTTTGTGATGGTTGTTACAGATCCTGCTAATTCACGATCCTGACAGCATTTATGTTACATCTGAACTGAAGGAAACTCCTTTGTTTTTAGCTGCAAAAAATGACTTCATAGATTGTGCTCAACTCTTGCTGAGTTATGGAGCAACCACAGACGTCCATAATTTGCGGTTAGCAGTACAAATCTTGCTTCATTTTACTCCTTCCTTCTTCCTATTCTACCCTTGTTATTTCACTGTATATCTTTAGTGATCAATTTGTTGATTTAGCTTGCTTTGTCCTCTCTTGACCTTGAAGCTCATATACTTTTAATTTTTTGTAAATCATTGCCAAAAGCTCAGCTAAACTAGATGTTATTATCTAAGGCTTCTTTTATCCCTTGCTTTATCTGTGAATTTCAGTCGAGAAAGACCTATAGACTTGGCAAAATCACAGGAAATGCGCTCTACTTTAAACCGAACCAGTATAGTCATAAGTGAGTTCGTCCTACTAAATTTATATTAAGTGTGGGACAAATTGATTTTTACTCGAACTTAAGCTAGACTAATCAATAATCGCATTTCTTCTACCATTTACACAGCCAATAGGGCATCCAAACAGAAATACACAGCATGCATTCACAATGATCAAGTGGTCTCAGAATCCTGTGAAGCACTTTGGAAGGAAGCATGCTCTACTTCTGAGAGGTATTTTGGTTTGACCTAGGCACCATATATAGTAACGTCTTTTTATTTTTCCTAGTACTGAACCAGAAATTATGTTTCATGTTTGTGAAATCCAGTGTCGACTCAAGTGCAGATTGTGATATTTCCAAATACTATGCATCACCAACAGGATGTGCTAGAGGGTCTGCATGCTTCTACCGCCATGGTGAAGGGGAGATGAGAAATCCAAAGTCAAAACTTGGCATTGCTCGTTCTACTGTTTTAGCAGAATTTAAGAGAAAGATTTTTGTAGGAGGACTACCACCTAGCTTGGACTCTGGTAAGAAATTTGTGTGATCCATGAAAGACTAACACTTCAATTTTTCAGTCAATTAAAAATATCATTCCCTATGTTCTGAAATAATTGCCACATTGATATTGTAATTTAAACTAGTAATATTCTGACAACTAATTTGAAAAGAAGATGGCATGTAGTGATCACTCATTTGATCTTATGCTGATTTTGTGAGGCAGAATCATTAGCTGATATTATGGAAGAGCAATTTGGTTCAGTGGAAGATGCCAAAGTATTACAAATGGAAATTGAAGATCAAGTAATGTCCCGGGGTTTTGGCTTTATTACCTTCCAGCAAGAAAAATCTGTAGCTGCAGCTTTGGAGGTCCACTATACCTATATCTGGGGAAAGAAAGTTGAAATGAAAAGTGCAATTCCAAAATGGCTATCATCCCAAGAAGACTGTGGGGATGAACCTAAACAAGAGCCAGTACAACAAGAAAGCAACCAAAACCAGTGTCAAGCTCAAAGCCAAAGTGATCAAAGTTCCGTTGAGGGCATACCTGGGAAGATGTCTTGGGCTGATCGAGTGGGTCAAGAAAAACCAGAAGATTCAAAAAATGAGCGCAAGGTCCACAGACCACAACTTTCTGGCCAAGATATGCCTGGATGGTTTGCTACTTTAAAGAAATGGCTTCCTCAATTTTTAAGAAAGATGTCAAGGAATTCAGAAGGAGAATTTTATTCCCTGTCTTCTTTGAAAGCTGATTTTAAGGCAATATTTGGGCTGGAGCTTGACCATGCTTCTCTTGGATACTCTAAATTGAGTGATTTTATAAAGTCTTACCCTGAATTATGCAGGGTTAAGATTGTCCACACTGGTGGTCAGGTTCCTAATCACATGATCCTCTTGCCTAATGTGGCCCGACCTCCACCACTGGTTGTACCAAGGAAAAACATCTCTGTGTCCCGCCCAGTCACGCCAGCCTCTGTACATGATGATGCTGCATCTAATTGTGGGACTGTTGGTCCAACCAAAAAAGAATCTGACTGTGATACTCATTCTGATAAGTCTTCTGAGAAAAATCTTGATGTTACTGCTGTGAAAGAAGTTTGTGGAAAGACAGAAAAACTTAATTGTAGTGTTACATCGCCTCTGGAGTATTCCAGGCTACTGCAGTTTTTGGAACCAGACCCTGTGTTTCTTGCTCGAACATGGCTTTGGACTGGTGGCTTCAAGGTTCTAGATGAGCAATGCAGGCGAAAACATTTGATTTTGGAGGCCCTTGCTCGGAAGAGGAAACAAGTGTACTTCCTCAAGAGCCTCAAGTTCTACGATGTAAGATTTCTGACATCGAAGCATTAACAGCTCTCTTCAATTCAACCTTTTAAATTTCTCCTTTTCTTTTATGGGTCCAGGACTATGCAAATAGCCTCAAGCAAGGCAACTGCTTCGCTTGTGAAAAAAAGAAGATGATGTGGGCTAATTACCCATGCCAGCATCTGCTGTGGTGCGGTGACTGCAAGGTTGTAGCCATGAGGATTGCTGCAGTCGGTACTTCAACTCACAAATGTGTAGTTTGTGACGAGATGGTGGAAAAGATTGATTTGATACCCTGGACTAGAAGGCAACATCACAGCTACGAGGACATGGAATTCCCTCCAGTTCATGCTGCATATCTGAGAAGGTAAAATTGTGTCTTCCATACATTTTGGCTATTATTTAAAATCATTTTTTGCTGAACTCATACTTCCCCTCCAAGCCACAGGAAGTGTGAGGGTTCAGCATGAGAAACGTATCGACTTTGCAAGCCAACAATGAACTTTCTGCATCTTGCATTAATGACATTGATAAAACCTTTATAATTGTAAAAGTGTCAGCTCTAAAATTACGATTTACTCGTAGTACATTATTTGCAAACAGATTAAACATTATTCAGACAATGCTTTAGTTGATTATGCTTTTACTGATATATGTTTGTTCTTTCGTTGCACAGTCAAAGACTTCAAGCTTGAAGAGAATTTTTTCGGGTTCATTCAACAAGCTGCGTAGACACTGTAAAGGATTCTTATTTTGAATGCTGATAGAAGGTGCAGAAGTTTGTTTTCGGGTGTATAATTTTTGGTTCGTAAGACTAATATTTACCCCTCCCATTTTGCTTTAACGAGTTTCTGAAACCTACTTACAGTTTCGTACGGTGATGTATGGGAGGTTGGAAGTAGAAATATCAAAATTAGCAAGAAACGCCCTAGCATATTATGGGGCGTATAGGCAGTAGTAAAGCAGCAAGTATCCTTACTGCAGTTAGCGTAGTACTCTGAAGATAGGTAGAAAAATTCCTACTTTTTGTAAAATCAATGTAAATGAAGTTGCTACTTAGCATTCGAGTAAATAAATTTCCTTTTTTAGCTCTTGAAGTTGCATTTGATTTTGCCAAGGCCAAACATACATGTTCAATGCAATTGCAGCTTCTTGCTGCCTGTAAATTGAAAATATTATTAAGAATTTGCATAAACTTTGGCTTATCTTTCTCATTAGCTCATCAAAGAATATATAATGTTACAATATTCCTAACCTAGAATAAATGATATACTAGGAAACTAGGATAATCCCAAAACACATAATAATATCACGAATATATCCTAAAAAATATACCACAAGATATTCTCAAAATATATTATAACGATATTATCTCAATACCCCCTCAAGTTGGAGCATGTGGTTCAAAAATGCCCAACTTGGAAAGAAGACGGTCAAACTGGGTTTTGCCAAGAGCTTTTGTAAATATGTCCACAAGTTGAGAAGAAGTAGAAACATGGGATGGAGAAATCAAGCTTTCATTAATTGCATCACGAATAAAGTGACAATCAATCTCAATGTGTTTTGTTCATTCATGAAAAACAGAATTATTTGCAATGTGTAACGCAGACTCACTGTCATAAAATAACTTGATCGCCTTCGTATGTTGCACACCAAACTCAACAATAAGCCCTTAAGCCACTTAAGCTCACAAGTAATCGCAGCCATAGATCTATATTCAGCCTCTGTAGATGACAGTGACACTATATGTTGCTTCTTTGTCTTCCACGAAATAAGTGATTGGCCTAGAAATACAAGCCAACCTGTCAAAAATCAGCGAGTGAGAGGGAATGCCGCCCAATCTGAGTCACACTAACCCTGCAAATTCAAATCACAATCGGCACGTAGAAGAATTCCCTGACTGGAGTGCTCTTTAAATATCGAACCACTCGTAGCCCCGCATCCTAATGCTCGATTCGAGGTTCTTGCATGAATTGAGATAATATATGAATAGAATATGCCAAATCAGGACGAGTGACTCCAAGATAAATCAAACGACCCACAAGACGACGGTAGGACTATGGGTTCACAAGAAACTCTCCATTAGCAAGACCTAGTTTGTGGTTTTGCTCTATAGGAAACCCACTCACTTTAGCCCCCAACAAACCTGCTTCAGAAACGATGTCTAGAGTGTATTTTCTATGACACGGAAATAAACCTGCAGAACTTCGGGCTACTTCTATACCCAAATTTTTTTTCAAAGGACCAAGATCCTTCATTTTGAAACAATCACTAAGATAGGCTTTGAAAGTAGCAAGTGCAGCGGAATTGTTCCCATAAATAATTATATCATCAACATATACTAAGACATAAATTTGAATATCAACCTTAGTAAATGTAAACAAAGAATAATCAGAATAAAATTGAAGAAAACCGTACTCTTTCAAAGCCGTCACAAGCTTAACAAACCAACATCTCGGGGCTTTCTTCAAACCATACAATGACTTACGTAATCGACAAACCAAAGAAGGATCCGAGCTCTCAAACCCGGGAGGAAGCTTCATGTAAACATCCTCATCAAGATCACCATGCAAAAAAGCGTTGTGAACGTCCATTTGGTGAAGCTTCCAATTTTTGGACGCCGCAATAGCAAAACAAAAAGCCCGAATTGTAGTCATTTTTGCAACCGGGGCAAAAGTTTCATTATAATCAATGTTAGCTTGTTGATGTTTTCCAAAAACGATCAAACGAGATTTGAGGTGTTCTACGTCCCCATTTGATAGAAACTTAGTCTTGTAGACCCATTGACTACCGAGAGCTCGTTTACCTGAGGAAGATGCTCCAAGGTCCACGTGCCATTATCTTCTAAAGCTTGAATCTCCTCTTTCATTGCTTAGCTTCTTTAAAAGACTTAGGGTCCTTATCCTTAATAATAGCTGCAAGAAACTTTCAATAATTCATAGAATAATTGTCACAATTAATATAGTGTGCTAAAGGATATGGAGTACCTGATGAGAGATCGGATGATGGAGTGGACGAAGACGGACTATTAGCAAACACTGTGTGAGTCACATAATCACGAAGCTTAACTGAAGGGAATTTTTCTCGATACGCATGCCCCATGACGTCAGGCTGCTATTGTTATTCACTTTGGACAAAAGGGGCCACGGCCTACCCGTGGCTGGACTTACTTGGCCGCGGCTTGCCCGTAGCGTCATGCTGCTGTTCACTTTGGGCAAAAGGGGCCACAACTTGCCCGTGGCTGGACTCATTTGGCCACGGCCTGCCCGCGGCCTCTATTGTTTCGTCAATATAGGTAGCTTGTTCTTCTTGTACATACCCCCATATCAACAACATTATCAATGACAATGTTATTGCCATCCAACATATACTCTTGCACTTCATAACTTTGCACATGCTCTTCAAGATTATAGACCATATCATCAACATCAATCACACTATCATCATATGGTGCAAAATCATGATGAATATCACTAATCGTGTCATGCATATGAGGCTCAATATTCACATCTTTTGGGCTACCAAACGGAAACACCCCTTCAATAAACTTTACATCACGAGAAACGAAGAATTTCTTTGTATCTAGATCGTACAACCTCCATCCTTTCTTTCCAAATGGATACCCCAAAAATATACATTTTCAACTTCTACTTGCAAATTTATCCCCGTTTGTTTTCTGATTATGAGCCAAACACAAGCACCCAAAGGTACGAATAGCATCAAACGAGGGTGATTTGTGAAAAATAATTCGAAAGGTTTTATTTTTTAGCAAAGGTGTAGGGGTACGATTTATTAGATGAGTTGTGGCAAGAACACACTCCCCCCCCCCCAAAATAGATGATAATTTAGCCTGAAATCTTAACGCTCTCCCAACATTCAAAATGTTTTTGTGTTTTCTCTCGACTCTCCCATTTTGTTGTGGAGTACCCACACAAGAAGTTTGAAACAAAATTTCAGTTGCATTCCTTAAAATAATCAAGTAAGCGATTAAACTCTATACCATTGTCACTTTGCACAACTTTAATTGATTGAGAGAATTGTCTATCTACCATAGCAACAAAAGCCATTAATATTTGAAACACTTCAATTTTATTAATTAAGAAATAAATCCACACTGTCCAGGAGAAATCATCAAAAATTGTTAAAAAATAACGAGCCCCACACGATGAAACATGACGGTATGCACCCCACAAATCACAATGTATTTTCTCAAAAATTCTAGAAGTCTTATTATCGCTCAAGGAAAATTTGTCTATAGGATGTTTAGCACGAAAGCACACTTCACACCCTTTATGTAAACTACCCTTAGTGCTACTAACATGAGGAAGTAACCTAACCACTTTTTCGGATGGATGATCCATTCATTGGTGCCATAGCTCCAAGGTTGTTGTTGATTCATCTACTGACACATGTTGCACCAATTCTGGTTTGCTAAAATAATATAGTCCGTCTTTCGGAACTATATTATTTTAGCACACATAGAAGAGTTAAATTGGACAATTGTATTTAATGTATCATTAAGCTGAGAGACAGAAAGCAAATTGCAACTCAAGTTGGGAACATAATGAACTCAAGTTAGCACAATTTGTATCTAACAAATGAACCGAGCCTTCTAAAGTAGACAATTCTGATTCACCATTAGGCAAACCAACGGGACCATGAAAACTTTGAGTATCAAATAACCATGATTTTTTGCCTGTAACGTGATGTGTAGCTCTGAAGTCAATGATCCAAGAAGTAGTATCAAACTTACTATTCAAACAATCATCAGAAAATTTGACATTGCCAATCAAACCCGTGGAAAATTGGATGAATGATGATGTCAAAGGGTCTTCGCCCCTTTGGATGAGACTTTCTACCATTGTGTAAAAAAAAAAAAAATTTAACCTACTCTTGATACCATGAAGAATTTGCATAAACTTTGGCTTATCTTTCTCATTAGCTCATCAAAGAATATATAATGTTACAATATTCCTAACCCTAGAATAAATGATATACTAGGAAACTAGGATAATTCCAAAATACATAATAATATCACGAATATATCCTAACAAATATACCACAAGATATTCTCAAAATATATTATAACGATATTATCTCAATATATTACTCCGTAACAAACTCTTAACCTTAACTCCATGTTCTCTCTAACATTTCCCGTAAAAACCATTCAGATTGATTTAAGTGACAATCGGATTTGACTTAGAAGTTCAAATCGGAAGCAAGCAATCAAATACTCCCACCGTATTTTATTACTTGCTCTACTTTCCTTTTGCGTCGTATTTTGTTACTTGCTTAATTTCCTTTTTTAGAAACTTTTAACATTATTTTACTCCTCACTAGTGTTCCCCTCATATTATATTTTAATATTTTTCATATTTTCTCTCCTCCTCACTTATACTCACCTTTATTTTTTCAGATTTGATATTCTTCAACCAACCCTACCTCTATCATATAGCAATATTTTCTAATATATTTCCTAAAACTCCGTGTCCAGAAAAATGGAGCAAATAATAAAATACGTAATCGTATTTTATTACTTGCTCCAATTCCTTTTAATTTGCGACCATATATTTGCTCAATTTCTTTCTTTTTTTTTTGAACTTTTCACAATATTTTACAAAAATTTTCTCTCCTAGTGTACCCCAACTATCATACTTTAATATTTCCAAATCATCTCTCCTCCCAACTAGGGGGTTGTTAAACAATGCTCCCATTTTACAAGGCACCGCTCGCATTTTAATACGAACTTCCGTATTTACCCCTCGTAAATAAATACTCACGAAACTCACTCATGACACTCACAACACTCATTTCTCATTTATGAAAATATCAAACTCTCTCGTAACTTCACTCTCATTTCATCTCTCTAAAATTATTTAAAAAAAAAAAAAAAAAAAAAGCACAACCCACCACCGACAGCCACCAATCCAGGGAGACCAATGAAGTTCCGACGATGGCAAACCGGTACAGAATAAGGCTGACTTATGGAGGCGGCACCGGAGGCAAGAAGGTATGAATTTCCGCCTGAAAATTGAAACAAAAAATTAAAGTTAGAAGGATCCGCTTGAAAATTTCGGACAAACCTAAGAGGATC